AGTCCAAAACATGAGTTCAAAAATAAAAGCATAGAAACTACTTTAACTTATGACAACTAACTAAGATACAGCACACAACTAAACGACCCACCCTCCATAATACCAAACAACTTAAACAGCCAACGAAAAAATGAACTGTTTAAACTCTCTCCACCCCACCCCGACAAGAGATACTACCTCATACCGCCTACTACGCCTCGCATCATGCTACCACTACCTGCTACTCACTATATACCTATCACCTATACTCCACGTCTACCGCCTACTAACATACCGCCACGTATCACTCAGACTCATACCACCCCTGACACTCGGCCCGCTACACCTCCTCTCCTAACTATGCTGAGTTACCTCATAATCCCGCCCTGATACGACCCGCTACGTAATACCGCGCCGCCCGCTGTATGCGCTACTATACTCTAGGCGCCTATCCGCCTCACTGCACTCTAATAGTATACTAATATATACTACAGTACTAACAGTAACATATATATATCACTATATAACTAACGCTATAGCCTATATAACCTATATAATATATACGTATACCTATATCATTATACCTATATATCACTATATATATATATATACTATATATATATATAGCTCCAACACTCATCATTACATCACTTTGTCTCACCTCGTTCTGTAATTATGTGTATGATGTCTGTGCAACTGAAAATCAGTTGCTGTCTAGACCAACCTTTTTGAGACTGAGTATGGAGGGCTTCTTGTTTGATATAATTTTTCTGAAGAATATATATCTGCAGTTTTCTTTTAAATAATGAATGTTATGCATTGAATAGGCCATATATATAAAAGTTATGTTTACTTATTACCGTTTCCGAACAATAATTATTATATATAATTATTATATATGAATACTTACTATACATTCTTCTTATTATTATTATTATATATAGCTACAGTCTATCGTCAACACGGGTCTAAAAGACTTTAAAGTTACAGCAGACGACCCAAAGTCACTTTTCTACCCCTTGTAGTTTATTAAAAAATATAGTTTTTTATGTTAAGCTTGTTATTTTCTGGAAGAAAAAAGTTATTTATTTATTTAGCGATGATTGCGCTATTTTTAGAAGAATATTCCTATAATTGCCATCTCAAAGACTTTTGATGCTTGCAAGAATGGCACCTTCTTACAGTTCCCCTTTCCTCTTATCCTTCAATTTTTCCAAATATAACAACCCTATTTTGAAATCACTTTTTTTTTCTTAATTCCAATAACTCTGTTTCAATTTCCATAATTATTTCTGTGATTTGATTGCAATCTTACAAATGTGTGTGTGTCCTCAGGCGGGGGATCAGGCCAGACCTGCAGACCAGAGACAGATTTCTCTGAAGAGTCCTGCTCAAGACCGCGGAAGGTAACTAATTAAGACATACAGTCATGCCCTAAATAGGGTTAGAAGGCATTTTGATTCACCACATTCCTAGACACTTTCTTTTTACAGTCATGGGTGTTATCGGACAGGTCTAGCTTCACATTGTTAATAAGTCCTCAGAACCATATTAGAAAGAATCTATTAAAAACTTAAAGCGTTTACAGTATCAAACGAACACAAAACATATTGCTCAAGACAACTCTTCATGCTTTTTCCTTCAGCTCCAGCCTGTCCGACCCCCCCACTGCCAACATCCGCCCCACCACAAGTACTCCATCTCCTAGTAACAAGCCGAGCCCCTCCCAAGGTAGCAAGTCCACACCTCGTGCCAGCATCCGGCCAATGGTTACCCCAGCAACTGTGTCCATCCCAACACCTACCGCCACTGTCATGCCGACCACACAGACTGACAGTCAAGATGGTGAGAGCAAAAAACAAGTCAAATTAGTAAAGAAAACAGCAGATATTTTCAAAGCCTTACCTCAAATATGTTAAATATGTTTAGTTAGTACAAGAGTGGTGCAGGAATAAGTCCTAAAACATGGAAATTAGTCAGCATTTAAGCACTTCCAAGCTCACTCGTAAAGTCAACGGGTTTTTTTTAACCTGAAATGCCTGAAACAAGGTCTTTGGTTTACAAAAGACATCTGAAGAGATGTTTAACGTTTGGTTCTATGACATAAAACATGTCAGTAAATACCCCACTGGTGCATGTCTGAAGATGTCTTAAAAACTGCGTATCAAGTTACCAAATAAGACTACTAAACATCATCATGCTGAATATTGGCCGCCTGTAGCTTAGCCGTGGTGACGTGAAGTCATGGGACTATAGTTTGTATATTGCCTAACGTTAGCTTTTTATTTCTGGCGAGTGGTGTTTATACGTGGAGGGTTTCATAAACCTGTGTTTACCACATATCTTATCCTGCAATATCCACAATATTTCGAAACCAAATGGGAAAATCACAATACTTTTTATGGCGGGAACCCTTGCGATGCTAACTTCCGACTGGGCCTACAAAAATATGTAATTTCCGCAAGACTCTATGGTACTGTATCTGTGTCAGATTAACATAATGTGTCCCCCTGCAGTGCTGATGGGTGCAGGAGCCGCTGTGCACTCCACCAGCTCCAGTCTGGTGAACACACCCACTTCAATGACTCAGCCAACCAGCACCCAGGCCACAGCTTTTGTCCAGCCCACCCAGCAGCAGCCAGCCAATCAGGACGCAGGCCCCAGTATGGATGCAGAGCGACCATCTACGTCCTCTTTTCTGAGTGGAACAGGTGAGCAGGACGCATGGTTCATGCAGCCACCCTGCAACTGCTCAGATAAACAACATGAAACACATTACCAGAACAAAACACACTGTTGTTGGCTCTAGCGTGTTATGAATAAATACACATCGATGTCAAGATAAAATCGTATGTGTAATAGGTTTTACTTAAAGTACAGAGTTACGGGTTTTGGCAGGACTAGATTGAATGAAATGTTCAATATAATCTGAAGAGTGAATAGTGTTACCTGACATGCTGATGTCATCCTGTGTGTGTTTGATGTTTAAAGCAGGTTCAAAGCGAAGCATAGATGATGAAGACCGGGAAGAGGAGAACACACCTCCGACCTTGAAAAAACAAAAGATAGCACTGCAGGTAAACACACATATTGTCCCCATATACAGTCGCTAGCTGAATCCCCTCCCTCAGCTGTGTGTCTGTGTATTCAGCCGGATGTCTACGAGACGGACTTACAGTAAAGTTGTCATATATATGTATATATACATACATACATACATACATACACACAGGCGCTGTTCTAGTGGTAAACCCTGAAAAAAGAACATATCAAGCTATGTGCTGTATCAGAAACAAAAGTAATATGATCTGTTTATGATGATCGATATAGATGATTGATATGATCGTTTACATTAGCAAGCATCGCTAACACTCAGAGCTAACACTGTACTGGAAAGAATATGTGTAAAGAAGCCGGATATAAAAGGTCCTCACCAAGGGCGCCGGTTAGGGTGCATCAAAATGCAATGCAAAAGATTTAATCTCAAAATATCAAACTGTTAGGTGTTGCATTTTGTTCCAATGTCTATACAAATGATTTGTGCAAAGTTTGAGGAAATTTCATTCAGATTTAGAGGCGCAACGCAGCATGTCAAATTTTGCCATTTTGCCAAAAAGTGCCATTTTCGGTG